ACTTGCCAATCGATTCTTCAAAGCATTTTGTCGACACTCCCTTCGTCAACATATCTGCAAGTTGTTCCTCAGATCTCACGAATGGAAACGAGATGATCCTTTCTTCCAAATTCTGTTTGATGAAATGTCTATCGATTTCTATGTGCTTTGTTCTGTCATGCTGTACCGGGTTGTGTGCTATCTCAATTGCTGATTTATTATCACAATAAAGTTGCATTCCTTCTTTCGACTTAAAACCCAGCTCAATCATGAGTTTCCTTAGCCATAGGAGTTCACATAAACCTTTGGACATTCCTCTAAACTCAGCTTCTGCGCTTGATAAGGCAACTACGTTCTGCTTCTTACTTCTCCAAGTAACGAGGTTTCCTCCCACAAAGGTGAAGTATCCAGATGTAGATTTCCGGTCAGTTCTATCTCCAGCCCAATCAGCATCTGTGTAACCCCAAATATCCAAATGTCCATTTTTCCTAAATTGGATACCTTTCCCTGGAGTCTTTTTGAGATATTTCAGAACTCTTGTCACAGCGTCCATATGTTGCTCCTTTGGGTCATGCATGAATTGACTTACCATACTTACAGCATACGCAATGTCGGGTCTGGTATGTGATAAGTAGATAAGTTTTCCTACCAGTTTCTGGTAAGTTTCCCGATCAACAGCCGGGTCGTCTGAACGATCTTCAAACCTCAGGTTTTGGGTAATGGGTGTATCGGCTGGCTTACAGTCTAGCATCCCCACCTCTACAAGCAAGTCAAGTGTATACTTTCGTTGTGATAAAGAGATACCTTCTTTTGAGCGTAGCACCTCTATTCCCAGGAAGTATTTTAGACCACCCAAATTTTTCATCTCAAACTCCTGTGATAGTCTCTGCTCTAGCCACCCTATCTCCTCACTATCGTCTCCTGTAATTATCATGTCATCAACATAGATAATTAGGATAGTTACCTTGTCTTGACGATGCTTGTAGAACAGAGTATGGTCAGAATCACTTTGAGTGTAGTTGTAATTCTTCATGGCTTTGCAAAAACGCCCAAACCATGCTCTTGGTGACTGTTTTAATCCATACAGACTTCTTTCCAGCTTACATACCACCTTCTCTTGTTCTTGGTGTGTGTATCCTGGCGGAATGTCCATATAGATCTCTTCCTCCAGATCTCCATGCAAAAATGCATTCTTCACATCAAATTGATGTAGCGGCCAGTCCTGATTTGCTGCAAGAGACAATAAGACTCGAATTGTGTTAAGTTTTGCAACTGGAGAAAAAGTTTCCTGGAAATCTATTCCATATGTTTGGGTGTACCCCTTTGCAACCAACCTTGCCTTATACCTTTCAACTTTACCTGTAGCATCATATTTTACCGAGAACACCCACTTGCACCCAACAGTTTTCTTTCCACTTGGCAGTTTTACTAACTTCCATGTCTTTGTGGTTTTCAGGGCTTCCATTTCTATTTCCATCGCTTTAACCCATTTGGGATCTCGCAAGGCTTCGTCTACACTGTTTGGTACCTGAATCTTTGACAGTTCTTCAGTGAAATTTCTCACCATATTGGACAACCCAATAGTACTGGTATAATTTGATATTGCATATCCTCCTTGTCTATTACCTTCTTCTCTATACCGTTTTGGTGGTATATTCCGGGTGGTTCTCACAGGGTACCGTCTTTCAGGTTCAGTTTGAAGAGAACGTACCTCAGGGACATCCTTTGGAGAGCTCGAGTGTGGCATTTCATGCTCCTCGTCCGACTGTATCACTTCTTCTTCCAATCTGATTTCCTCAGGTTCGGGTGCATGCTCTATGTCCTCTCCCATCCGTTCAGGTGCACGGTTCGTGTCCTCTCCCATCCGGTCTGTGTCCCCTGGGGTAGAGTCTGCACGGTCCATGTCTTCATCTACACGGTCTGTATGCGTGTTTCTCGTGTTTCTCTCTTCATCCTCCCACCAGATTGTTTGGTTTGTTTCCTCCTCTCTTGGAGGGGGCAATGATTGGTTCCGAAAAAAAGGTTCACTTTCCAAAAATGACACATCCATTGTCACATAGGTTTTTCCAGTTTCTAAGTCAAAGCATTTATATCCTTTTTGATTATTACCATACCCGACAAACATGCACCTAATTGCGCAAGGTTCGAGCTTGGTTCTTTTCTCTCTTGGAACATGTACATATGCTGTACATCCAAACACTTTTGGTGCCAGATTTAGAGCTGATGGAATTCTCACAAATGAGGAAAGTTTCTGTAAAGGGGTAAGGAATTTTAGGGTACTGGATGGCATTCGGTTCATAAGGTACACGGCAGTAGATATGGCATGATTCCAAAAATTCCGTGGCACATTATTTTCAAATAACAAAGATCTAGCAATCTCCAAAATATGCCGATTTTTCCTTTCTGCCACACCATTTTGTTGAGGGGTACCGGCACAAGATGTTTCATGTATAATGCCATTACTTTTGAAAAAACTTCCCAAGAAATTATTCACATATTCCCCCCCATTGTCACTTCTAAGAATTTTAATCTTCTTTCCAAATTGTCTTTGAATCAGGTTTGAGAAATCTAGAAAACAGTTTGCGACTTCATTTTTATGTTTCAAGAGATATAACCATGTCATTCTAGTACTATCATCGGTGAAAAGAACAAACCACCTTTCCCCGTTTATTGAATTAACCGGGGCTGGACCCCACACATCAGAATGTACTAAATCAACAAACTCCAAATCTTTATAACGAACACTAGGATAAGAGTTTCTATGACTTTTACTTCGAATACAAGTTTCACACTGAATTTCAAAATTTGACATACCAGCCCATAAGAAAGGAAAATTTTTCCGCATATATCCCACAGAAGGGTGTCCCAACCTCTTATGCCACAACAAAATATTATCTCTCTGAGTGCTTCTCCCAGCTAGACATGTAGAACCAGTACTCAAGTCTTCAAGGTGATACAGTCCATTTCGCTTAATACCACGCCCAAGTATCTCCTTCGTTATGATGTCCTGAAAAATGCAGAAATTGGGATACATTAAGACCACACAATTTAAATCTTCAGCTAATCGACCCACTGATATAAGCTTTGTGGTCAGTGAAGGAACAAGTAGAGTGTCTTTTAAACACAAAGATTCAGTCACATTAACAACTCCTGATCCTATAACCTGTGAGGGGACTCCATTTGCATTCACAATCTCTTTTCGGTTAGATTCCCCAATTCTATCAATATCTGAATCTAAATAAGTCATGTGATCGGTTGCTCCGGAATCTATCACCCATTTTTCTAAATTCTGTGTGATAAGAGCATTACCTTTTCCAGCAGACCTGTCTGTACCTTTGACATGAGTCGCAAGTGTTAGTGATGCTCGGCCTACGTTGTCTTCTGCGCGGTCTGTATACCCGAGTGCACGGTCCGGGCATCCTGCTATGTGCACCTGTCCACCTTGTCCCTTCTTGTTCCCTGCGGCCTTTTTCTCCTTCAATTCATGCCACCAGTCTGGATATCCATGCAACTTAAAGCATGTTTCCTTGGTGTGCCTTGGATTGCGGCAATGACTGCATCCTCCTTCAACTTTCTTTCCCTGTTTTGTTTCAGACTTAAGAGAAAGGGATACCTCTGATGCACGGTCCGTGTGCTGACCTGTACCCTTCATTGTCATGACTGCGGGATGAGAGATACTGTCATTGCTACACATCACCTTCTGCCTCATCTCCTCCCGTCTAACCCGGGCATACGCCTGCTCAACAGTTAGTAAGGGCACAGTCTGGATAATATCCGCTCGAGTGCTATCTAGACGGTCGTCTAATCCGGCTAGAAATTTGTACACCCGATCCTGTTGAACCCAAGAGTTGTGCTTCTCAATGTCCATAATGCACACCATAGGGTTTGGTCTTCGGAAATCAATCTCCTTCCACAATCCCTGCAACTCATTGTAATACTTTTCCAAAGATCCACCTGATTGTTTTAACTGGTGGACCCTTTGTTGAAGGTCATAGATCTGAGAAGAATCACAACCGTCAAAGAAGGTGGTAGCCAAGGCATCCCAAACCTCCTTTGCGGTAGAATATCGGTGGAAATTTCCAATAAGGCTTGAGTCGAGGGAGTTGAGAATCAAACCTTTTACCATTGAGTCATTCATCTTCCATTGCTCATATCCAGCATCACCTACCAAAGGTGTCGGTTTCTCTTCACGTACATAGCCTAGCTTGCCCTTGCCGGCCAGGTGAGTCTCCATCATGGACAACCACAGCCCGTAGTTAGTTCCATCGAATTTGACTGTGATTGAGTTAACCGGTACTTCAACCGGCATAGTCATCACCTTCTGGGTGGTTAGAAGTTCCTTCAGCGCTTGAAGAAGTGTCATGTCAACGCTGTGGTCCTGGTCCTTCCCACCTCCCGTCTTCTGATTGTCGGTCTCCATTATAGGTTCCTAGATCTGGACCGCTCTGATACCATGTAAAAATTGTTGTATGAGTAAAGACACAGGATTTAACGAGGTTCAGTACCAACTTGGTACCTACGTCCTCCACACCCACACACAATCTTTTTATTTCTTTTCTTTTTTTCCAATGATACATGTACAGGAGAGGGAGAGGAGAATATATAGAGAAAGGAAAAACAATCTTCTAAAACAAGGAAACAATCTTCTAAAATAAGGAAACAGAATAACTGGTGAATAAAGGAAATTAATTATGAGAGCCAGCTATCGCCTTCCTTCTTTAGTCTGGTGGTGCAGGTACAGGGTCTATTTCAACATATTCTACACGGGAATTTCCGTCTAGGATACTCATCCTAGACGGAAGGATGTTATTTATTTTTTTAAATTTTTAAAAAAAAAATAAGCTATCCTAGACGGAATTTGAGCATCCTAGATGGAATTTCCGTCTAGGATACTATGCTACAGTATTTTTTTTTTTTTTGCAGAATCTACTTTGAGTGCATATACACAATATTAAACAATAAATTATATTCATATCCAACACAATCTAATTATATTCCAATATTAAATTTTATTATATTCAAATAATACATTCATCAAAATAATAGAGAGATACATAAATTGTTTACAAACGTTTACATAAATTTTTTACAATGGCTATGACACTGCAGAAGCTTCTTTAACTCCTTCCCTATACATTTACTCAGGCCCTCTTCTTCTCATTCTTCACCTTCTTCCTCATCATTCTGAGCGTAAGCAGGAACTGAAATTTAAGCTAGAAGCTTGAACCTGCAAGATAACATGCAAGATGGCATTACGTGCGAGAATATACAACTTTAGTTGTACAAAGGGGATTATACACTTCACTATAACTTGCACTTACCGACTTATAGAATTCATCTGAGAAGCCAGACATGACTCTACACACACTTTGAAACTCTTTAGCATCAGGGTTGTAGCACGCCATAAGGAAAGGGCTGTACCTGTACCGTGGCAGTCAGAGAAACAAAATCATTTTGATGGGAGAAACCATTAGATCAAAGGAAAACATTAAGAAGGAAAGGAAGCCTATTATCTGTACCATCCCGCTTTTCTTCCATTCCCATACCAAGCGCCAATGGGTACCAAATCAAGACTGTCACCCAATTCTTCAATATAGTCACGTTTGACCTGATGAGAAATTATGGAACATCAGACTACAAGAAGTTTGATCAAGCGGGATGTTCGTCTTATCTCAAATTAGATGTACCTTTAACCAGGCATCAGTGCGCTTTGATGCACAATATCCAGCATCAATATCTAGAGTTTTTGCCATTATTCCTTCACATGACGATTTACAGCCATCTTCAAAAAAGGTGTTTATATTGGTTACCGTAATACCCCAACCCTTGAGAGGGTGATGTGATTAGTATTGATAGATTTGATTGGAATACTCATACCACCAAGATGCATCTTCTTTTCGGGAACCTAACTCTTAGAAACTTTTGATGGGAGAAACCATTAGATCAAAGGAAAACATTAAGAAGGAAGGGAAGCCTATTATCTGTACCATCCCGCTTTTCTTCCATTCCCATACCAAGCGCCAATGGGTACCAAATCAAGACTGTCACCCAATTCTTCAATATAGTCACGTTTGACCTGATGAGAAATTATGGAACATCAGACTACAAGAAGTTTGATCAAGCGGGATGTTCGTCTTATCTCAAATTAGATGTACCTTTAACCAGGCATCAGTGCGCTTTGATGCACAATATCCAGCATCAATATCTAGAGTTTTTGCCATTATTCCTTCACATGACGATTTACAGGCATCTTCAAAAAAGGTGGGCGTTACAGTTACTGTGCTTTCATTACTCAAATATGCTTCATCTGCTTCCACCTATACAACAGCAGAGGGAGAGAAATACAATAAAGATTTTATGTTAGCATCATCAATGTGAAAGTAATCGTAAAGACGAAGAAAAAATTATTGTGCATTGATGTTCATTCAGTTTTTGGGCAGTAATTAGTACTGTAATTGCAGAAACAAAAAGGGACAAGTGAAGCAGTATTATAGACTTAGACTTAATTAACAGGTGATATCAAGAAGTAGGAGAGATGCAATAGATTAAGAAATATGTCATCTGCGCACAAGCAAAATGACAAACATGCGGGAATTCTTGCATCTGAATTGTGAAATGAAATTCACACGTTGTATATGAAGTATAACAAAGGGTGGATGGAGAAGTAGGAATTCTGCATCAGAGAATTATATTTCTTTTCTCAGCATATACAACTAATAATTTTGAGTATTTCTCTGTCTAGGGAGTAAATAAAGAATTATATTTCTTTTCTCAGCAAACTAAAACATGTGAAATATTTGGCGAAAATAGACAAAAGAGTAAGTCTTCATGTAGGATTTTTGTTTAAGCCCAAGTTAATAGGTATACAACCCTACTGAAGAAAAGAAATTGTCTTTCAATCCTAATTGACCCCAAGCTACATTATGCACATATTTGCCCCTAAACTTATAATAACACAAAACTTACAATTCTACAGAAGAAGACAATGTCATACACTTAAATTTGACAATGTCATACACGAAAGAGTAAGTCTTATTCACACAAGTGATCATAACATGCATTTTTGTTCTTTCAACAGGTCCTCCTTGCTGTTCACCAATTCCATAACTAAACCAATCAATTGTGGAATATATCTGATTACACTCTCTGTTAGGATGGCACAGGAAACATCAAAGAAAACATGGTGACTGCTTTTGTTAATGGTTCACTAGCATCCCTGTGCACTCCATTCGTGCATGACGCAGACATTTGAGGACTTTTCAGTTCGCTTTTTCCAAATGCGAGACCTTGTTTATATTGAATCTAAGTGTGTGCGTGTTTATTGTGATCCTTTTAAAGTGCCGGAGCATTTTCAGAATTTTCTGAAAATTTGACGCCCAAACCAAAGGTTGGGGGCTTTTCCTACTAAATAGTATAAATAGATGATACATAATTACGGAGGCGTATCAAGTATACGATCAGCGAAACACTCGCTTGATAGCTTATATTGCATACTACCAATGTCCGAAAAACAAGCTTTTTGGCTCGATTTCAGGCCCTCGTTTCTCCCCTTTGATTGAAAAATTAGAAATCAGCAAAAAATACAAATGCTACACTCGCGTAAGGTCAGATCGTAGCTTCAATACCCAACAACACCATTCGTATGGAAAGTTGAAAATTGATAGAATCACCGAATTCGATCAAATTAAGCAGAAATTGAGTAAAAACTAGTTAGGGTTTGATCTCACTTTGAGCCTGGCAGCAGAGAGATACGCGGTGCTCGACTCCCAGAGAAAGAACTCCTTGTCCCCGGCCACCGTCTTTCGCGCTACGCAGCCCCCCCCCTCCCGGCGCGATTGTACGGCAATTCTACGCCCACATAAATTGAAGCCAACGCCCTACAATCAAAGCCTCTCGGAGATCAGAAAGTTAAGCCAAAAACAAAAAAAAAATTAAAAAAAAGGAAAGTGAAGCTTTCTGTTATCGGCGAGAGCTTACGATGATGGCAGGGTGATGGAGAGATCTTTGTGGCCGGAACAAAGGGGCGAACGTTGGCAGCGACTCATTGAGAGGCGAAGGATGGGGAGTTCGCGAGTTGGGGATATCTCCGTTGGCGCCGCCGATGACGACAGAGATGTTGGTGCTGACGAGGGATTGGAGGAGTGCGGGTCGGCGCCGTAGAGGCAGAGCTTTGAGATCGAGGTTTGAGAGGAGGAGCTTCGCGGTCGCCTCCGGTGGCGGGAGATTGTCGGCGACCTGGCCGTGGAGGGAGAGGGAGTAGGAGGGGGAGGGGCCGGGGGTGAGGTTAGGATTTGGGGGATGAGGCTGATTTTGGATGAAAATCCATTTTTTTGGGGGGGGGGGGGAGGAGGGGGCGGCTACGGGTTTTGACGGTATTTTATTAATTTTTTAAATGGCAAGTTATTCTATATCCTAGACGAAAATTTCCGTCTACAATACCTGATTATTTTTTAAAAAAATTTAAAAATAAAGGAACCATCTAGAATACTATTCTAGACGGAATTTTCCGTCTATAATGCTTTATTCTAGACGGAAAATTCTAGATGAAAAATTTCCGTCTATTTTAATAGCATTCTAGACGGAAAAATTTCTGTCTAGAATATTCCGTCTAGAATACGTGATTTTTTACTAGTGACATTGACTTGAAAATGTTACATACTTGATTGGTTCATGAATCTAAACATATTTAACTTTATATCCACCTAATTGATCTTGCAGTGTTGGGTTAAATCTCATATCATGCTATTGTTAAGTCGGACATATACTTGAACTAAATGGGAGTTAGACGCTACTAATAAATGTGCATCTTGATTAAGATCTAGCAAAGTCCTGTTAGGTCTCATGTTTATGAGTCTACTATCTAATCTAGTTTTGATGATTAACAAACAATTCCTAACAACGTTTGTCGAGTGTTTATATTTGCTTGTTATGTATTCTACACAAAGATCCTCTATTGGAGGTTGGTTGGATTGCGTCTATACACGATCATATTCATTGGAGGATGAAAGGAATTTAGAATGGAGCAATATGCATTCAAGTCAACACATCATCAAATTTTATTCCCGCTACCAAGATTGAGCTTCAAAGAGAGATCATCATCTTAGATATATTAGTTTAGGAACTATATTTTGTGTGTTAATACTTTAAGCTCAACATTATACCTACACACATTCTTTGGTTTTATCACAATTTGGATATTTTTGAGAAAACATTATGTTATTGATTTATAGACTAAATAATCCTAGTTTATATCTTTTATTAAGTCTATAAATCATTTCAAAAGATTTCAAATTTTGGTTTAAGTCAAATGTCAAAAATCAAGTGTTTTAGACGAACACGTAATTGTGAGATTTTACAAAATGATGAGTTTTCACAAATGGAAAATGCAATTTAATTTTTTTTTATAAAATGTTTATTTTCATGTTTATAAACATTTCTCAAAGTTTTATAATTTTTAGAATTTATTTGCTATTTTTAAAAGGAGTTTGAAATCAATTTTTACTGTTCAAAAAATCCATGTGCACGTTATTAGTTGACTGATGAAATCATCTGTTGAGCGATGAAAGTGGCTAAAAAAACAAAAAGTTTCTGCTTAGTCGACTCATGAACCATCAGTCAACCGATACAAGTTATCAGTCGACTGATGAGTTCATCAGTCGACCGATGACGAATTAGTGGCATGTAACGGTCAGCTCATCAGTCGACTGATGAACAGTATCAGTCGACAGATGAACAGTATCAGTCAACTGATGGCACTGTAACGGCTAGTTTTTTAGCTTTCTAATTTTTTAGGATTTTTGTCTTTTAGTTTTCTTGGTTTTTAAGGATTTTGTGAACCTGTATATACCCCTTACATTCAAACTTCTAAACTTAACTAAGAAAAATTTAAAACAAGTTTACAAGTTTGTTTAGTGTTTTCAAGTGTTTTACAAGTGTTTATGTGAAGTGGTTTTACAAGAGGAAGAAGATATTATCTTTTCGTGTTTGGGCTTCAATCTCAATCTCTTACACTTGATTTTCAGAGAAGTTTTGCTAAACTCAATTTCTAGCTTTATACATATATTTATTGATCGTCAATTTCATTTAGCTAGAATTTAGATTGAGTTTACATTTCATTTTACTCACTGAATGCACACACAATCCTTGAGCTTTTAGTATTTCACATTAAGTATAATTTGGGTTGTGTTGAGTGATTCCTTGAGTGTGAGATTAATTGAGTTCTCATCTTGTTTAGAGAACAAACACTTTATATTTCTGCCTATTTGTTGAGATCATATTGTAATACACAAGAACACCGAGAGAAGTGCTTGGTGAGAGACATAGTCAATTCCAAGAGGAGTGGTGTTGGTAGTAAAGCCTAGGGAGAGGTGGTAACTCCAAGCACTTGAGGAAGTTGAAATGGGTTAGGCCAATACTTAGATGGTGTATTGATTGATTATAATTGTGTGTGTTATAAACGTTTGTCGGTGAGCGTTGAAAACCGATTGTGTAGTATCTTTTGAGATAGTGGAGATTCTCCTCGAGAGTGGGGAGCCGAGACGTAGGTCGGGAGTGCCCGAACTTCATGATCACATTGTGTATTTGCGTTTGTCATTTTTCACTACTCATTTGCATATTTGTTCATGTTTATATTGCCATTGCTTTAATTACATATCCTTGCTCATAAGTTGTTAAATATTATACTTGCTAGGATATAATTATTAATAAGTTTTAAATTGGCATTAAATCTTATTAGATTAGCATATTCCCTATTCACCCCCCTCCCCTCTAGGGCAATTTTATTTGGTATCAGAGGTT